AAAGTGACTCACCTTGGGGGAGTGTGCCCTTGACCCATCAGATTACCCCTCGGATTTAGCATGCATTAATCATTCTCACCTTATCCCATCTTTACTATGGCGGTTGCAAAATGATGGAACTTCAGCTCCAACACTGTCCCCACATTCTGTGACAAGTCAGGCCCCACACCTTTAAATGTGAAGGATTAAAGCTGCACCTCCCCCTCCCCCCTGCCCTGGCCCTCCTACCCTCCTCACCTTACTTCTATTTCTCCATAGGGTTTTATTTTCATTTTCATTATTTAAGGCCCTCGTTGTTACAGGAATTTGTATTTTCTTGTTATAATGTAGAGACTCACTGAAGACTGCTTCCATTTTGTAAGCAAATTTGTGTAATTTTGTGTTTCCTCATAAACACATGTTTGCAAATACCTTATTAAGACTTCCATTTCCACCCCCTGAATTTGTCCATGTGATCCTGATGCACACACTTTTTTATTTTAATGCATTCCTTCTTTTTTTTTCTCTACCATTTCACATGTAACTTCTTTGTTTCTGTTTTGCCCTTAAAATCCTATACATCGTGTCTTTGTGATTATTACAACATGTATTGCTTTAGCGAAGGATTCATCAAACAGTCCCATTAACTTGACCTAAGTGTGATAAACCGTGCACAGGACCACATAAAGAGGTGAGGAGGAGCAGGAGACTGATGCCCAAGTGAAATGCAATATAGTCATTGGGCAGAAATCAATGAAAATGTTTTTCTTTCAAGCGTAAAGAAAATATAAAACTATAACTGAAGACAAGCATGTATTCTGAAAAATATAGTGATGATCCACTGGAAATTAAAGGTAAATTTGTTGCCTCTTCCCGAGTAAGAAGAGAGAGGTTTGCATCTCTTTTGAAGGAAAATATTTACCCATTTGAGATTAGATGAGGGGTGGAAAAACATTACAAGAGTTGTAGAGAATGAAAAACAGATCTCTACAACTTCACATCTCTCCCTGAAACGTGGGAAGAAAACAGGAATCCTAGCAGAGGATGGTTTCGATCCATCGACCTCTGGGTTATGGGCCCAGCACGCTCCCGCTGCGCCACTCTGCTAGCTGGGAGGCATGTGGTGCTGTTTCCTCACAATGGACATAATCAGGTGTCTTATTCCCTTGTATGGGTAAGTTGTGGTTCATTTATAAAATACAATTCGGGGTGCCTGGGTGGCTCAGTTGGTTAAGCGTCCTACTTCAGCTCAGGTCATGATCTCCCAGTTCATTAGTTCGAGCCCCGTGTTGGGCTTTGTGCTGACAGCTAGCTCAGAGCCTGGAGCCTGTTTCAGATTCTGTATCTCCCTCTGTCTCTGATCCCCCCCTCCCCTGCTCATGCTGTCTCTCAGAAATAAATAAAACATTTTAAAAAATTTTATAAAATAGAATGCTACTCAGGAATAAAAACAATATTTTTTGGTGAATTTTATTGTATATATAACAACACAATTAAATCTCAAAAACTTCATGCTGGGCAAAAAAAAAAAAAAAAAATGCCACCCAAGAGAATGTACTGTATGATTCCACTTACATGAAGTTCAAGAGCAAACAAAACTATGTGGCGATAGGAATGAGAGAGGGACTGGTTTGCAGGACGCAGCACTGACTGACAAGGTGGCACGAGGCAGCTTTCTGGTAAGTAACGGGAGTGTTCTCAGTCTTGGCGTGAATGAATGGTGGTCCCAAGGGGTTTTTTGTTTTGTTTTGTTTTCCCTTTTCCATGACCTTGACGCTGTAGGACAAGCATCGTGGGTGGAGAGGAACCGGCCAGCGGAACCACTGTGGCAACACAGCTCTGGCCACGGTCCCTCTCGATGGCCACGCCCTGTGGGCTTGTCCCTCGAGTCCGGCCGGACCCGCGTGCTGTCCTCTAGCAGATGGAATACGGCAAAGGTGACAGACGGCACGCGGCCACGTGTACACGACGAGGGGGTAAGTTACAGGAGGTGGTATCACCCTGTCACCTGCTCGGCCTGTCGTGCTGCTGCCCCCCTCCCCACACACCCCTGCTTCCTGGCTTCGAGGAAGCGAGGGGCCAGCGGCGGCGGCGGCCTCACGCTGGAGGCCCTGGTGGCCAGCACGGTGGCCGGCCTTCAGTGACAGACAGCAAGGAGCCGAAGTCCTCAGGCCTGTAGCAAAAAGCAGAATCCTCTCAACCACTCGGGTGTGCTCGAAATGCCTCCTTCTCGGGTCAGGCCTCAGAGGAGATCACAGCCCCACAAGTAGCGCCTTCAGCGCCCTGGGTGCCCCCTGGCAGCTGACCCGGCTCAGCCACGTGCAGACTCTTGACCCGAGACAACTACACGTTAATGCGCGTCAGCGTTTGGGCAGCAGCGCAGCGCAGAGCAGCCAGGCCCGGGGGCCCCAGCGGCCGCCCTGCGACTCACGCCACCAGGAGCTTTGCCAGAGAAGCTGAGGCGGCTGCCAGGGAAAGCGCATCACAACACAAACCACAAAATCCTCTGTGTGGATGTGTTTTTAGGCGGCAGCAGGGGCTCCCTTTATCGTGGAGTAACTCGTGGGTCCACTGGGGTCCCCAGACTGAAGCGTCAGAACGACGTCATGAGGAAGGGGAGGCGGCGCGCGGAGCTGGGGCCGGGCCGTGGGAGGTTCCGGGAGAGGCCGTCCAGGCGACCACGGCCCGGCAGTGGGGCGCGGTCCCCAGCAGAGCGTGTGTGACCAAGGGCCTTCGCCTCAGCACCGCGCCCTCCCCCCGCCCAGGGCTGCATGAACCCGAGACACCCGCTCTTGGGCTCCCGCGTCTGTGTGGTTTCTTCTGCGGCCTTGGCTTGGGTTTGGGGCTCCGTGGAGACCATCTCTGTCAGGGTCATTCATTTCTCCTTCTGGCACGAGTCAGGAAAGTGGTCTTCATGTCCCTCAGGGGATCATTAGGTCAGTCCCCGCCCCGGACGCCCACCGGCCGCGTGCGCCCGCGCCCTTCCTACCGCAGCCCTCCTCGCGGCCCGCGGTCCGACTAATCCTGAAAGTGTGTCCGGCCATCGCTTTGCCCCAAAGCCCCCCCCCCCCCCCCGCGCCTTATTCTGGAGCCTGAGGCCGGTTTTCCTCCCGGCCTGAGCCTCTTCCCTCACAGCCCAGCATGGCGACGACGCACCGAGTTCCCGTCTTGGCTGAGACGTCACAGCACCCCACGAAGGCCCGGCTGAACCCCCCACGCTGTGCCCCGCGCCACCACAGCTGCCAGCGCTCCGCCTAGAAGCCGCTTTCCCTCGTGTTTATGACCTATTGTTTCTCACCAGCCAGGATCAAAGCTTCACAAGAATTGGAATTTTCTCTGTCACTCGTACATCCCAGTATGAGAAGAGGGTCTAGTAAGCGATGTCAGATGGCCGTGTTTCCTGAGTGAACGATCGATTGAACAGCCTGTCGGACCTTTCCTTCGTAGGCCATAGTCATTTCACAACCTATGCAAAATTCCACGTATTCCACCCAAACTGTGTTCCCCACTCTCCCAAGCCCGGCGGCTGAGTGTCCGTCTTCACCCGCCCTTTCCCTCATTCTTACTCTGTCCTCTGCCCACGCCCATGCGATCTGTCACCAAGCCACCTGGTTAGCCGTCACTGTCAGCTACCGAGTTCGAACTCACATCTTTAACATTTGCAGGTGTCTTCGCAGTCTCCCGTGTCTCCAAACCTCCAGTCTGTCCCCATTTGATTCCTATCTCACGTGACAGCTACAGCTGTCATGCCCAAAGTTGTCTCTTTCCTGCTTAAAATCTTTGCCCTGTTCTCCGTCGTGTTTGGAACCCTGTCCACACTGCACATGGTGTGGACGTGCACCCGTCTGCCTGCTTCGCCCCAGCCGTGCCTGGAAGCCTCCCAGGGTCCCCTCGCAGGTGACCCCAATACACCCGCTGCCTCCCGAACCACCTGCGCACGTGCTGTGGCTTCGGCCTGCAGCGCCCTTTCCGCTTGGTGCTCAGAACGCACTAGGACAGAATTCGAGTTCTGAGTCCCGCATGAGACACCCTCTGCTCTGCTTCCATTCCCCTGGCGTCTGGCGTGTGTATTGGACCCACCGACTTACTTAGCAGTCTCCCCACTCAATTAATTTTCCCAAACAGGAGTCGTCTCGTCCTTCACCTCTGAATGTCTGCTGCAAGGCGCGAGGCATGTCGTCGTCCTGGGAAAATGTGAAATTTTCATGTTAAAGGGCAGCAGACAAAATCCTATACTTTCCTCTTGCCCTCCCTACGTATGGTGGCAATCTTGGGGCAGGGGATGCCTTAAAAAGTTCAACTGTGGTGCAGTCCCAGCTCTGACGATCTGCTGAGAGAGAGCGGTGAGCACGGACTTTGGCGCCACGATGCTCTGAATCCCAAATCTAGCCTTTACTAACTGGGTGGGCTTGGCAACATCTCTTTCGCTATGAGTTTAACAGTAATTCCTGTATCGTAAACTTATTTGAAAGTTTTATTTTTATTTTATCAAGTGATTGAAGATTATTTTTCCAACTGGGCCTCTTCCAAGGTATCCATAAAACAGGAGACATGTAGTGTGGGAGTCATTCTTGCCTTGTTTTGTTTTTTTCACCAGGTTCTCACTCACTGACCTCCCATTGGCTACAGAACAGAGGTCTGGCTAGTGTCTGCCGCTCTTCCCTTTTTCCTTTCGTTCTCAGGTGCACAAGTCCCCCCACCCCCCGCCTGCCCCTCCCGGAGAGATGCGAGCGTGGAGCGGTGGCCTTACGAGGTAGAAAGTAAAAGAAAAAAAAAGTGTAAACTTTGGTTCCCTAATTTGGGCATTTCTGGCTCGCACTGCAAGGCTCATGACCTATAACGTAGAGAGAGAAGAATCCCTTCCCAGGCCCCGTTACTCCCTGAGAAGTCAGTCCTTAACGTCAAAACACTGGCGAATTCAGGAATGACGCGTGCGGCCGGTAAGTGGTGCGCCCGCCCCCCAGCGTGGGCCACGGGCCAGAACCCTTCCCACACGGGCCGCACGGCTCCGCTCCCACGGGCCATTCCGCGTCCAGGCTCAGCCTGAAGTGTGACCTGCACGGTAGTGCCGGGCGAGGTGACGAGAGCACGTCCCTGCACAGATCCGAGCCTCGTGGGACACTGGCCAAGGGCCTTCCTCTCCTGGAAGGAGGAGTGACCGCGGAGATCGGACGGACGGACGGACGGACTGAGTCTTGACTTCCCAAGCTCTCAGGGTCCAAATGGGCAGAGAAAAGGATGGGCTAGGGCCCGATCTCTCCCGGAAGAGACTGAAGGGGCTTGGTGGCAGGAAGGGACCCAGCGAGAGTAGCCTATCTCGGCGCCCTTGAGGGTTGATCAGTCAAGGAAAATTAGGTCAGATTTCACCAAATTTGATTTAAGGCCAAATGATCTCAAAAGCTCCTCCGGGAACTCACTGAAGAACAAAGCAGTGAGAAGTCAGCGCAGAAATTCCTAGGGCGCAAGAGAAAGGGAACCATTTCTTAGGCCAAGTAAAAGGCTGTGGCTTAGAGAGAATCTGTTCCCCCCCCTCAGGATGCCAGAGCGTGTGGGCTGTGCTCGCCACCTTCCCAGCAGGTCTTTTCCCAAGGAGAAAGCAAGCGGCGGTGTCCTGACTGTGCTCACACCTCACGGAGAGGAGTGGGCAAGAAGGCGAGTTGCTTCAACTCCAGAGGTTTGGTTCTACCCAGTTTCATTCCGCTGTTACCATTAGGTACCTTGGTCCTCCGCTTTCTAGACGATGGATTAGGACCCACGAGGTGAATATGCGAAGCTCTACCTTAAATCTGGGCTATGTTTGTGTTAGAGAATTGGAAGGCACTGAGGCTCTTCACGATACTGAGGCCCAGACCGGGCGAGAGGGGACACGGGTTATTTCTTGTGGGCATGATGCCTTCGGGAATGGCCTTGTTCCCGAGTCCTGGGGGTTTTTGATTTTGCTCCAATGGAAAAGGAAGAGGCCGATGGTCTGAAAAGCCCTCTCCCAACAGAACCCTGCGCAGGCAGAGAGGGCATCCCAGGGCCAAGGCCGCTGCTTCTCTTAACTGGCCTGGGGACACGGGTGCTCTGAGCAAAGCCCTGGGCCCTGGCGTGGCCCCCAGACATGGTCTTCCTTGAGGAGCTGTTGGTCGTGCCCAAGACGAAAGGCAGGCTCGGGCCCGCCACGCCCTGCGCATTCCGGCTCCAGCCTTTTCCAAAGGGCGAGACGGTGCCCGTGGTCCCACTTGGCAGCTGTCTGGTGCCGAATGCCCCAGAGCTGGAGTGCATGTCCGGGGCCGTCGCACTGACCCCGGGCTCCCCACAATCCATAGGGGTCACTAACCCCCCAAAGGCAAAAGGCCGCGGGGCTGTGCTGCCGAACACTGAGCCACGAGCCCCGCTCGCGTGGGCCTGGGTGGCGGCTCCAAAGCCAGTGGCGCCAGCTTGGCCCATGGGAACCCCTGCTGGGACGCTGCCAAAGTTTGGCAAGATGCCAGGGGGGCCAGAGGGGACGTGGCAGGCGGAGGCGGAGGGTGCCAGGCCCCCAGAGGTGGACTGCGCGGGCTTGCTGAAGGCTGGCCCGGCTGGGGTGGGGGCTGGGATCGGGGATGCCAGTGCTGACTTCCCCAAACTGAAAGACCTACTGAACCTTGGGCCAAGGGGCGGTTGGGGGGCGCCCTGCTTCTGCCCATCTGTAGGCCCAGGTGCCAGCTGGAGAGGGGCTCCTGGGGAGGGGGGGAAAGGTGGCCTTGAGCCTGACCCAGAGGGTGCTGGGGGTGTCGAGCTCACGCCGCAGATGCAGGATGTTAACGCAGGCTGGCTCCTGGCTGCCGAGGCCGAGGCTGGCAGAGGGCTGCCCGTGCCGCCCACACTGGCAGTGCTTTTACTAGGTGATATCTGGACAGCGCTGGAGAGAAGCTGGCTGAAGATGGTGACTGTGTGGACGGTCGGGAGGGCAGCACGCGGGTGGGCAGGGAAGGTGGAGCTTGCGGCCTGGGAGAGACCGGCCCTGCAGGTACAGGAGGCCCGGAGAAGCAGCGTGTGGCAGGAAGCAGGGGTGGGGTAAGGGTGGCCCACGGTGCCGCTGACGCTCACGGCACCGAAATCCACAGGTGGCACCAAAGAAGAGTCCGAAGTGGAGGCGGGGGTGGTGGACATGACCACGGCCGTAGCCTTGACCAGGCTGTGGAGGAGATGGGGGGCAGCAGGGGTAGCTGGGGCATGGGTCTGCTCAGAGGAGAAAGGAGCTACCCTGGGCTCGGTGTTCAGGGCTCCTCGGCTGCCAAAGATAGGCTTGAAGGTGGGAGTCAAGAGCCCGGGGGGTGAGCAAGCTGAAACTGTGGCTGAAATTCTGGACTGTAAGGAGTCTCCAATCTCAGCCCTGGGTGGGAGCTCCAAAATGGGGTGTGGCGTGGGGTCAGCAGGAGCGGCCCCAGGAGGCGCAGATACAGGGAGGAGGGGAGCCCCGCCGCTCATTCCAGAGGACACGCTTTGCACGGTGAGTGGTGCAGGGGTGACCGCAGGAGGCTCACGAGGCGTGGGGGTCCCGCCAGCCTGAGCTGCGGAGGGCGGCCTCGTGGTGTCAGTGGCCGGTGCTGGGGCGGGAGCAGCGGCTGTGGACCTGGGATCAGAGGTGCCGGGGCGGGGCTCTGACCCGGAGACGCCGCGGGAGCGCGCGCCCAGTTCCGTCGGGAGGGAGCGCGCTGCGGGGACCGCCCGGCCCGCGGCCGGCGGCGAGGCCGGCGGAGGCTCCCGCGTTTCCGCCAAGCTTCCCAACTGCGGGTCCGTGTCCGGGGATCGAGCTGCGCCCGCAGACGGCTGGCCGGGAGACGCCGAAGGCTGGATGGCGGACCACGGCGCGGGGACACGGCGCGCGGGGACCGCGGGCGCATGCTCTCCGGCTTCGTTGCTCCGCCCGAGCCCGACTTTCTGCCGCGAGGCCGGGTCGTCTCCAGGGTCTGCAGCGCCGAGCGGGGGAGGCGGACTCGGGGACAGCGGGGTCTCCTGACCCTGGGACTTGGCTGGTGGCGGGGGCCCTGGAGACCGAGACTGGTGACCCTTTCCTTTCTTTCTCACTGGCCATTCTGGGGTGTGCAGGGACGCCCCCGGAGCCCTTCTCTTCCAGGCCTCGCAGAGCTCGCTGGACGAGCTGTACGAACTGCTGATGGCGTTCCTCCCGGAGCGCGGGGGGCCCCACCAGGGCGCGCGGGCCGCGGGGCTCCCGCTGAGGTCCGAGCCCCGGGGGTCCCGGCTCCTCTTCACTGGCCCGGGCCGGGGCACGAAAGACGTGAGGACCCCGTTTCCCGCCAGGGGCCGAAACGCGGACGGCCAGGGGTCGGGACTCCGTGTCGCGCCCTGCAAGCCCCCGGGACACGGAAGCTCTTCCCACCTCGCTGTCCCTTTCGTGCGCCCCCGCAGCGCCCGCAGCACCGTCTCCTTTGCACAGGGGTCCAGGGGCTTCTCGGAGGGCGAAGGCCCCGCGGAGTGGATCGCGTGTACGGGCCGAGCGGAGGGAGGCCCCCTGGGCTCGGGGGCCGCGATCCTGACGGTCACCGGGCTCCACGGCGCCCGCGGGTGCCGGAGGGACCAGACGCTGCGCGTGAAGTAGCTCTCCCACCAGTCTGACGGCAGCGGCCCCACGATGGCGTTGAGCGGCCTCTTCATGGGGAAGCGCCTCCAGGCCTCGCTGACGCCGCCCGCCGCGGGGCCGCCGGGACCCCAGCAGGGCGGCCTGCGGGCCGGCCGGTGGCGCGGCGCGGGGTGGGCGCGGTGGACCAGCTGGACCCGCTGCACTTGCCGCAGGGGCGGTGCCGGCCGGGGGAGCGGCGGCCGCTCGGGGGCGCGCGCCCGGGCCGGGGACGCGGGCGGGGACCCCGGCCTGCCCAGGTAGCTGCCCATGCGGAGCGACGCGGCGGGCCGGCCGCCGGGCAGCTTTCGGTTCCCGAGGCTGCCGACGGACTCCGGCCAGAGTCCGCGCGCGCGGTTTGCGTCGACGGTTGAGACCCCGGCGCGAGGAAAGCTCGAAGCTCTTAGGGCGCCCCACCCCCGCAGACCCCGCTACCGGAGGGAAGGAAGGAGGAGACCCCCGGCCGCGCGCCCCGCCGGGGACCGTGCGGCCCCAGCGCCCCGAGCCGCGCGCAGCCGGAGTCCGTGGGGTGATGCGCTGCCAGCCTCCTAGACTCCATCCCGGACCAGATGCCGGAGGCGCCTTTTCACAAAGGGACCAGAGTCAGCCCCAGGCTCCCCGACCCCGCGTTCCACCGAGCCGAGCCGCAGATAACTCGGGAAGTTCCCGGAGACGGAGGGGCGGGTGGGGAGCACCCCCCAGCAGGAGGTCAGCCTAGGAGGGATGGAGCCAGGGTAGCGGACAACGGATCTGGATAAGGAACTTCCCATGGAAGATACACAGACGGCCAATAAACATATGAAGACGTCACTTAGGGGATCACAAATGCACACGTATTAGTCTGGCTAAGATCCAGGACACTGGCAACACCAGAAGTCGAGACGTGGATCAACAGGAAATGAAACACGGTCCAGCCACTCTGGAAGACGCTTTGGAAGTTTCTCACAAAGCAAACATAGTCTTCCCATGCCCTCTAGCAATCACACTTCTAGGTATTCACCTAAATGAGCTGAAAAGTTTCGTCCATGCAAAAACCTGCACGTGAATGTTTATAGAAGCTTTGTTTATAATTGCCAGCAATTGGATGCAACCAAGGAGTAGTTGGATAGAGGAGTAAACGGCGGCACGTTCATACAGGGGAACAGTATTCAGCACTAGATGGAAATGAGCTATCGAGTCAGGACGAGACATGGGGGACCTAAGTCTGTATTGCTACACAAACAAAACCAGTCTGAGAAGGCTACATGCTGTACGATTCCAACCGTGTTACATTCTGGAGAACAGAAACCTATACAGAGTAAAAACGTCAGTGGTTTCAGGACGCGGGACACTCGGTGGGGCACGGGGATTTAATTCTGTATGAGTCTATAAGGTTCGATAAAGGACATTATGTATTTGGCAAAACCCATAGACATAGGACAAAAGAGTGAACCCTAATGTAATCTTAAGTACTTTAGTTAATAATAATGTGTTAGTATTGGTTTGTCAGTGGTAACCAATGTACCACCAATGCCAGATGTGGATGAGAGGGGAAGCCAGGAACGGAGGCAGGGGAAGAGAGAGTACAGGGAAAGTTTCTGCACTTTCTCTTCCCTTTGTCTGCAAACCTATAACTCTTCTTAAAAAAAAAAATAAAGTCTACTAATTTTAAAAATTAAAATAGGGGCACCTGGTCGGGGGAGATCTCAGTCGCTTAAGCTTCCAACTCTTGATTTCAGCTCAGGTAGTGATCTCATGGTTAGTGAGTTTGAGCCCTGAGGCAGGCTCTTCGCTGGCTGACAGTGTGGAGCCTGCTTCGGTCTCTCTCTCTCTCTCTCTCTCTCTCTCTCTCTCTCTCTCCTCTCTCTTTTGTTGCCCATCACCTGCTTGCGCTCTCTGCCAAATAAAGAAATATTTTTTAAAAAAATTAAAATAAATTTTTCAATGTCTTGGAGCTTGGATCCAAGCCTCAATCCTCTTAAAACTCCCTTATCATTTACTTACCATAATAGGTAAATCACAGGTGCACAGTTATTTTGTTATTTAAGCAAGTGATGCAGACATTCAGTACGTTGTCAGATACGCAGAAATTAAGGTACTTGTTGACAGTTTTAGTCTGAAAAATTGACAAACCATTTAGGCAGCTTAATTTGCCTGTCTGCCCTTGCGTGTGCTCTAGCCTTCCCCGGGATCTAGGGCCAGGGCCTCGGGGTGAACTGAAATTGCTTCTGAGGAAACTGCCAGCAAATATGTTTAAAAGAACCAACCAGCAGTTGCTGCTACTACATCCACTACAAATGAATGAGTGGCCTGAGTGGGGGGTGGGGGGTGGGTGAAGAAGTTGGATGGAATTCACTGAGTGGCAATTGAGTGGCCTGGGGAGCAGGGTGAAAAAGTTGCGTGGAGCCCACCTAGTGGCTGCAAATTTTCCGAAGGCCCAGGATCAACGTCAAGGTGGTGCTGGGTGGACCTGTAGAGAGAGATGGGAGGGGTCCTGCTAGCAAGATGGGATGGTCGGTCAGGGCCCCTTCCAGAATGAGGGTGGTAGAGACCAAGGCAGACCTGGGGAGAGGAGGTGCAGGGGGCAGGGATGGGGGTGGGAGGTGAGAAGGGGAGGCCCTGCCTGGGCAGAAATAACCACGAGGCAGAGTGCAGCTGGGCCTCAGGTTCTGATGCTGTTATTTATATTAAAAAAAAAAAAACAACCTTTTATATGTGTGGTTTTTTTTTTAAATTTTAATGTTTATTTATTTTTGAGACAGAGAGAGAGACAGAGCATCAGCAAGGGAGGGGCAGAGAGAGAGGGAGACACAGACTCTGAAGCAGGCTCCAGGTTCAAACCCACAGCTTAACCAACTGAGCCACCCGGGCGCCCCTTTTCATACGGTTTCTGGCTTGGGGGCAGTGCCCATTTGTGGACTCAGGCCACGAGAAAGCGGGAGCTTCAGTTCCTGTCTCCTGGGCCGGTACTGCAGGGAAGCCAGGGTATTGGACCCAAAAGGAAGCCTGGTAGCAGCTGGCAGCAGCCTAGGGGACGCGGGCGACAGGTGTGGGAGACGGGCCAGGGAGGACAGGCTGGAGGAAGGGGCCCAGGTCCTTCGGGACAGCTTGGGGGCCTGCGGCGCTGTGATCTCTGAAGGTCTAGGATGGGCTGGTTTGGGGGATGCGGAAAACACCCCCAGGGGCTGGAAGAGGCCTTCGCTCCTGGCACCTACTGCGGTAGGGAGTGCGCGCCGCTGGGCCGGTGGGAACCGGCGGGACCCTGCTGTCCCTGTTCGGGCTCCAGGCTTCCACCCCCTCGGGTCCCACCCGCGCGGCCGAAGAAGGCGTCTAGGATGGTTTGCTGCCCCGGTTCCGCTTAACGAGCAGACGACGGAGGACGTGCTAACACCACTTAGGTAACGTTCAGAAGCGTGCAGACAACGTGTCTGGCCCCACGTGCATTTGTGCCGCATCTATAAACAACCGCAAAAGAATGATAAACATACAAGTACAATGACTCCGGGTAGAAAGAAACGATAGAATCGAGGAGGAGCGATTTGAGGCTTTACCGCTCCTGGCGGGCACTGATTTCTCAAGCTATATTGTGCACGCCCGTGTATTCGTTTTACTTCTATATATTGCATTTTGGGTTTTTCTAAAGTTTAGTTTTTTAAAACATTGATATCCAAGTTAGTTAACATATAGTATAATAATGATTTCAGAATTAAAATTTAATGATTCACCACTTACATGTAACACCTAGTGCTCATCCCAGCAAGTGCCCTCCTCAATGCCCATCCCCCATCTACCCATCCCCCACCTCCCAGCAGCCCTCAGTTCGTTCTCTGTATTTAAGACTCTCTTCTCGGGGCGCCTGGGTGGCTTAGTCGGTTAAGCGTCCGACTTTCGCTTAGGTCATGATCTCGCGGTTTGTGGGTTCGAGCCCCGCGTCGGGCTCTGTGCTGACTGCCAGCTCGGAGCCTGGAGCCTGTTTCAGTCTGTGACTCCCTCTCTCTCTGACCCTCCCCTGCTCACGCTGTCTCTCTCTCTCCTAGAAATAAATAAAACATTAAAAAATAAAAAAAAGACTCTCTTCTGATTTGCCTCCCTCTATTTTTATCTTCTTTTTCCTTCCCTTCCCACATGTTCATCTGTTGCGTTTCTCAAATTCCACATGTGAGTGAAATCATATTTGTCTTTCCCTGACTGACTTATTTCTATATATTGCATTTTTGAATGGGTGTGCAGTTACATGCATTCAACTTTTCACACTGAAATATGGTGTATCTGATTCAATCTTATGTGGCTGAAAGCAATTAAGGTACAGTAAAAATTTTTTAATCTTAAATCATCTTGTATACGTCCACTAACATAGGGACTAGGGATCCATTAAAATTTGGGGGTGAGCTCGTTGAACAAAACACAGCAGTTCAGATTACTTTTTTTTTTAATGTTTTATTTATTTCTAGGGGAGAGAGAGAGAGAGACAGCGTGAGCAGGGGCGGGTCAGAGAGAGAGGGAGTCACAGACTGAAACAGGCTCCAGGCTCTGAGCTAGCAGTCAGCGCAGAGCCCGACGCGGGGCTCGAACCCACGAACCGCGAGATCATGACCTAAGCGAAAGTCGGACGCTTAACCGACTGAGCCACCCAGGCGCCCCTCAGATTACTTTTTAAGAAAACCTCAGAAACCTTAATCCACTCTGCACGCTTTGCTATCATGCAGTACACGAAGGCGGAAAACTCTCGAAAGCGACACTGAAGCCCACGTGGCAGCCGCGTGGGCCGTCCGCTGGGTAAAGTTCAGGACTGACGACTCTCCCCCTCCGCCCCCACCCCCGCTAAGTCCCGTCGTCCCGCAGCCCCGGGGACACGGTAGAAAGCTCCGTGCACCGTTGGTGTTGAAAGCAGCACGTGTGCCCAGGTGTCGGCTTCGCTATTTTAATGAATGATTCTTTGCAAAGTGCCGGGAGGACGCGGCGTCGGGGAGAGCGATCGAGCAGCGCACGCTCGGCAGGGGGCGCTCGCCCGGTGACAGGCGCCGGGGGCGGGGGTGGGCGCGGCCTCCGCAGCGCACGCTCGACAGGGGGCGCTCGCCCGGTGACAGGGGCCGAGGGGCGCGGCCTCCGCCACAGGTGGCGCTGCAGTCCCGGCCTCCCCTGCGCGGCGTGAGGGAGCACCTGCCTGCGGTCGCGGCCTCCAGAAGCCTCCTTTGGTGAGGATTCCGCGAAGCCCCCTGCTCGGAGACTTTGGGGGGTCTGGCTTGGCGCCCCGCTCGCCGGCACCAAGGGCTTGCTTTCCCGCGTCCTGCTC